TCTTTTCTATTCAGGTCCAGAAGAATACTATCCTAATAGCAAGGTTGAGAAGTAGGGCAGGAATCAGTCAGTTCCGTGAATTCAATGAGGTCAAGGAGTTTGACCCTGTTAAAATGAAACATTTTTCCATCACGCTGTAGTTCAGCATTTCCATGCAGCCAGCCATGCTGTTTTGTTATGTGTGATGCTGATGCCTGACTGTACCTGTCTTCCTTTCTAACTGTCCTGGCAAAGGGAGGGTTAAGTGGATTATAGTGCATGGAAAACTGTAGGAAGTACACCCACAAGCTCAGGCAGCAGGGGAGGGTGGTTGTAACAGGTAGTTTGTTCTTGCCTTGCACTGTGCGCAGCTGCTGTCGTCTGTGCCAGAACTTAACCAGTAGTTGCACCAGTATGCCTCTCGGCTACTCTTGTGCCTTAAGCAATTAATTGGTCTAGAAACTGTCTAAGCATTTCAAAATACGAGTAAAACTTTTAAAGGGATGAAACATTGAACAATTTGAAGTTGAAACTTCATGTAAAAAAAAAAACCTGCTAATTTGTCAAGCAGTTACGTTGACTAGCAAATGTTATTTTACATAGAAATGTTGTAAATTATTGAATCATTATCAAGATTTTTTCCAGTTAAAGAGTTTGTCCTGGGTCAGACATCGAACATGACATCCGCTGTCTCCTAGCTAATAAAACCATTGCTTCTCTGACAAAATACATAGTAACAAATTTGTGGTAGGGCTGCAAATGTTCAGGAGAAGCTATTCAGAAGAGTTGGAAATTCTCAGGACATTTGGGAGTTGAACTGAGCATCTCTTCTCTTCCCAAATTTTTACTCCTGTGATTATGAGCAGGAGGGAACTAAAAACCATGTCCTTCCTGTTTCACTGCTCATTGTGGGTTATGCAGTAGGAGAGACAGCACTCTATCTCTGTTGCTTGATTCACACTGTTGATTAGATGTTGGTTGCTATTGCCTTCCTGTCAGTATTGCACTACTCATGACTGCAACCCTCACTGTTTGGACATACTCCTAATTTGCTGTGAAGTTACAGTAGTAAAAAAGATGCCACACGGACCAAAAATTATACTTGAAAACTGTGATTTCCATTAGTAGTACTTAACAACAGGACTTTTTTTTTTAACCACTGATTGTTGAGGGATTCCTTATAGAATTCCTTGACTTGCCTGACATGAATGTAACTTGTGCATTGCTGTGTATTTTGCACACGAATTTAAAATTGTCCTTTAATTCTGAAAAGTATTCTTTTCAGGTCGCAATATAGACACCTTTGCTATGTCTGCAAGACTAACATTTTTACTATCGAGTGGTCTTGAAGCTAAATTACCTGATAATGATGAAATGGCTGGTTGCCTAAGGGAGAAAGATCTTGAACTGGCAAGCATCTTTGAGAATGCTTCTCTGTGATACCAATGATTTTAAAAACTTTGTATTTCTTTGTTTTCATATTTTTGACAGTGATCGGTGTTAGGAGTTGTCCAACCTAGTAGTGTGATCGAGGCAAGGTGCTGCAGCTCCGTGTCCCTGGGTCCAGCCAGTAGCAAAGCTGAGCATTTATTCCAAGCGGGCACATGTGGCCACAGTGCATACGTACGTGGCTAGCCACAGAGATCAACGCAGAGCAAACAGCGCTTGCACAACCACAAACAACACAAGCGGCCTGATCCTGTTCCCTTCTCTGGCTGATCAGGGTGAAAGGCTTTTAGTGAAAAATACATTAATGTATGGATCCCTCCAGTAACTGGCCTTAGACACTCAGTCTATCCAGGAACTGGCTTCTGATCCTCTGGTCTCCCTTGTTGCTGGCCTGGGTGTGCAAACCCATGAGGCTCACAGCCCCAGTTGAGTTGCTGGTACTCAGACCCTCTTGGACATGCACACACACGCACAGATGAATACGATATGGATGCTTCTAGTTAGTGGCCGTAGCCTTGTGGCAGCTGGCCACGGGAATGCCTCCTGCAAATGGGTCTTGCGGAGAGCTGGCCCAGACCTATGGCCTTAACGTTAGCCAGCCCTCAAACCCCTTAGGCTTAGGCCTTCTGGTCCTTCCAGTAGCCATCCCTCAGATGTGAGGATCTCTTGTGGCTAGATTGAGAGAGGTTCTGTCAGTAACTCAGACCCTGTGATCTCTGCAGAGTCTGGCCCAGCCTTGTGGCCTGTCTGATACCTGGCTCCCAAGCCTCTTGCTCTACTTGCAGGCTTACGTGGCTTGATGCTTGCTAGTGATTATGTGCACCAACATGCACACCCACATGCTGTGTGCACACGTGTCTCTGGTTTCTGGCACTGCAGGCTCATGGGCCCCTATGATCTGTGGCCACCTTTTAATTTGCTGGCAATCTGACCTCTGTGCATCCACGTGTACATGGGCTGGAGCCCCCTGTCACCCAGGAAAACAGAAATTGAGTTTAATGAGGAGACTGGTGATCAGGCACATAACATGGCCAATCATACTGACTGGCAACCTGTTTACATGTGACCAGACCCTCTTACCATCTTCTGTCAGTTTTTGCATTCCTATTCCTCCCCAGTCCACCTTGATCCCACAGTTAGCCCCTCACCCCTGTAGGCAGTCAGTGACGTGGTCTGGAGAGCCTCTCCTGTTGTCCCACCTGGTGGATCTTCTGCCTGGCCTGTGGGCTGACTGCTCTCCTGCACTGGGACTGGGTCAGAGTGCTCCATGTGCCTGGGTGAGATTGCTGGGATCCCTTCATCTGTCATCACTTTCTGCTTTCTGTTTGTGGAGACTGGCCTTTAATCACGTAACCTATAATAGATGTGAGCAAAGTGTCCCTCCCTAATGCTGAAGGTGACCATTCCTGTCTGACTAGTAACCTCGCTCAGGTAACAATGACTATGCCTGTTTGATGAACAGATGCAGTGCATCTCCCTAGCTTTGTAAAGCACTTCTGGCATGTATTTGTAGTCTAAGCTTTCCTCAAGTTTTATTTCAAGTAAAAAAAAAAATTATCTTTGCAGGTGGCATTTTGAATGATCTCATCGGGAATAACAAGAAGGAAATGCTGTCCAGTGATTCCAATCTCTTAATCCTTTGTATGCGAAAGCTTTATGGAATATGGTAGCATGTGGTCAGTTGAGAGAGACTTCTGTTGGCAGGAAAAAAGTCTTAGTCTACCATTAGGTAAATTACATACATATGTATCCTAGTAACATTTTTTTGTTTCAAACGTGAAATTTATAAATCAAATCTAAGGCTGACAACCTTGTCATCATGCTTAATGGGATATTAGAAAGGCCTAATGTGTTGGAGAAATGATTTAGGCATTAATTCAAGCTTGTCTTTTGCCTTGGTAATCTGGATAGGGTAGTAGCTCAAGGCAGCTAAGAAAACACAGCTCTTGACAGCTGGAAGAGGAATTCCCTGAAGAATAAGATGATGATAATTTTCCAAACCAGAAAACTGTTTTTGAGAGAGAGTCAGTTTATCCTAAAAGTAGTGAGAGTGAGTTACTTCAGAAAGGTACACAGTGGAGATCGTAAAGATTGTTCTTCAGATAAGCACAAGGTCTTAGTGTGCCTTGAAGTTTTTAAGAAACTTCAAAAGCCGCAAAGATTAATGTAAGAAAGAATCTGCCAGAGAGAACTTGTTTTTTTTCATCATTTAGATTTCTCAGAGGAGTGCAGATATCCCAGTCACAATCTACGTTATCCTTTTTTGTACCTGGATATTTATTTGTGGAGACCATTGTTAAGTCATAAGATAGAATTACTTGACTAATTCTTGCAAACACGTATATCTACAGGATATGAGGATTTCCTGCGATCTCTACCAAAGAACTGTTCCACCCCCCCAACGCTTACTGAGGCTTTGTGGAGCATTGTGTTTATCAGGTTATTTTTCTCAGTGTTGAATAAAGAAGAAATTATACAGCTTGCCATTTTTGGTGCTACATTAGTCTATTAAATCTGGGATTCACAAAACATTGGCCTTTACAGATACCAGATAACCCTACCAAGACAATGCTGATTCATTTCAAACTTGGAAAGCCAACTTCCAGTAGAGTTCTGAGCTGTGGTTCTTAAATACCTTTTGCCCATCAAGCTTTTGTATGGGTTTTCTTCTTGCATGTGTCTTTCATTCACAGATACCAGCTTTGAAAAGAGCCACTGAAACAATGCCATTGGCCTTGTGTCACCAGGGCAGGAAGAGGGAACAGAGGAGGCCACTCAAGAGTATACCCCTTGCTTTGCAATATTCTACTTGCTCGTTTAAGATTTTAAATCTTGATGTTGATTTCCTCACCAGAGCCTTTGAAAATACACTTCTGTTGCTCTTTTAAAATATTTCCTATATTACTGTTGCATAAAATGTAGTGGTAGACTAGTAAAACCTGCTTTTTTAGTTGTTAGTGTAGTGCAAGTCAGTAAGTTATTAGTCTTGTCATCAGTATGGAGAAGGAAAACTTGCCAGACGTGGTGATTATTTCTGTACTGCATTAACCTTTTGTTAATTTTGGAATTAGTTGGTGCTGCAAAGCCCTGTTTTTTGTTAAAAATCAGCTTTGCACCTAATAGTCATGGATGAATAGGGATTGCGTTTAAATGGACAATGTAACTTTGAAAATGAAATGTTCTACTTGCTCCTCTGCTTGAAGTAGGCAAAGGTGTTGCAAAGGTGAAAGAGTTCTTTCCAGCAGTAAGTGTTGCCATTCTCTCTGTTACCTATGGACTTACACTAAACCAAGAACATAGAATGACTGTCAAAAATCCCTGTTTTTCTCACTCTGAAAATATATGGAGGGGAAAAGCTAAAGGATGGGGACTATTCTTCCTTAAAAGAATCTTCCTCGTTGGCACCTAATACCTCCTCTTTTGTATTATCCAAGTTCCATTACATAGCCAGTCTTCTGCCAGGTAATTAACTGTTCAAGTTATGTTTGAGCTAGAAAATAACCCGTTTAACTTTGTCGTAAAATCAGTAACATTTATATAGGTTATTTTTGTCTTATCCTGTTAGGTGTAAGAATTTGTCTGTATCTTTCTGGAATTCCTATTGGATGCTGCCCTCTGATGTTTGTGGAATGAACTGCTTTTGGGAAGCTGCTTTTAGGTAGGATCTATTATTAAATAGTACTTTATTGTTTGATTGCAGACAGGTGTAGCCGATAAGTATTTTTGCCTAGTTAGTAAGGTGACAAAGCAAAATATTTTGATTGCTTCACATGCATTTCACCTGCTTATATTATGGCTGCTTTTAGCTGGGCTTTCTCCTGTTTTATTATGGTTTTAAAATTCTAAACTCAAGTGTTATTACAAAGAGTAGATTTTTTTTCAGTTATGTTGCTTCATTAGAGACTTGCTAACATTGGTAAACTGTCTATCTGAATATAGCCGGAAAAGTTACTGATGAATTAATTATTTTTGATAAATAAAACTTGCTGCACAGTAATATCCATGATGTAATCTGCAATAAAAATTGACAGATAAGTTTAGCAGTTAAGTTTGGAGGTTTTTTTATTCAACTGACATGTTTTACAGAATTTGAGGAGGGTACTGCATCCAAAAGCACTGAAACAACCATTTTAGAATGTGCTTTAAGGTACAGTCTGTTAAAGCGTACACAGTCTTTAAAGTTGCATCTTTAACTTTAAAGTTTAAATGTTTTGATGTGGTTGTTCAGACGCTTTAGGCTGCCAGATTACGGAAATAGTTTGAAAAGAAATGGAAGAAGCCTTAAGCTACTTGACAGATATGTTCTCTAACCTGCATAGTTCTCTTCAGTATATAGCTAAAGCTGTAAGTCAATTTTTTTTGTATTTAAAATTTTACTGATCATCCTTTAATATGGTTATCTCTTAGTCTGAAGCTTGAATATTTCTAGGGAAGCAAAGAAAAAAAAAGTTTAGCTTCACAAGACTTAATGTATTTTTGAAAATTATGATTGTGGGAAAGACTTTAGGTCTGCCCTCTATTCCTCTCTGCTTGCATGCTGTCAGTGCTTTTTAAGCTCATCAGTTGCCAAGAAGTTACTTAAAGAGATAGCTTAGATTGGTTTTTAGTCTGTTGGTGAACTTCACCTGTAATTTGGGTCTGCTGAGTTTCTTGCTGCCCTTGGTAGCCACTGTGTCAGTCCACAGGGATTCATCTGACTTTCCCTTTGGCGGATTTACCTGTCTGAACGGACTCAATTAACTTTTTTTTTTTTTCCCCTTAAAGGTCAGCTTTTGGGGGTTTAGCTTTATGAAGTTCAGTGCAGGGGCATAAACCAAAGCACGTCAGTGCTGTTGCGGTGAAGGACGTAGGGGCTTTAGCCTGAGCTTAGTGGAGGGACAGGATGTGACTGCAAGCTTCATTCACCCCTGGACATCTGAGCCAGTTGCGTAGTGCTGAGAGAGGAGAGGGTCTTGCTGTCTTCTGATCCCATTGACCATGATGATGTCCATGAAGTCTCCACAATACAATGTAAAGCACTTAAGGAGAAAACTTCCTTTCTGGATTTTCTGCCAGGCTTAAGGCAAGTGGGGCCTTGGAACCAGAAGCAGAGAAACCCCGTGCAGTTCTGTGCACATACCTTAAGCTGTAGCTTGTATTATTCTGTTAAGGATGCAGTATGTGGCTGTGAAGACAAGTCTGTTGAAGCATGCATTGATTATGACATTTACTGGGTGAGTGCAGCTTCTTTCATGGTGAACCCCTAATATTTGCAAAATTTAATGTTTATACATTTTGAAACAGAAAGAAAAAAAGCTGCTTAAATGTGTAAAGGGGATGTGGTTCAAATTAATCATTTCAGGTTGAGCTTGATTATCAATATATTACTATTAAACTAATCCCCGTATGTTCTGCTGACTCTGGTGCTTGTTGAATTCCTCGGTGAGGTGCTCTAACTTCAGAAAGGGCCCCCTTGCCAACCCCAAACTTGGTTTATTTCTTGCTCTGTTTAATAAGTTCAGTTGGTTTCAGAGAGATGCAGTGAGTGTGTAAGAGAAAAGGTGGGGAAGATGGCAGAGAGGAGGAGAAAGCACTCCCTCTTTGGATAGCAGCAAGCAATTACAGTGGCTCAGCATCTCAACCTGCTACCTAAGCCTATTTTCTTTGTATGTGCTGGAATAACACAGAAGATAGTTGCAGTTTGGTTTCAGCTTTGGATATGAGTTAAAATTTTGTTTAACTCTCAAAAAAAATATGTGCACTGAGAAACTGAAGGGTTTACACCTTTGATATCATCTTATGCTTTGAACGTGATACTTGGTAGTTGTTCTGAGGCTGCAGTCAGATTTTTGGAGGAAGAGGAAGGAACTGAATTCCATGGAATTTTATTAACCACAGCAAATGAAGACTAGCATTCTTGTTTTCTGAGGTTGTATGTGTAGGGCCACTTCAAGATTCTTCATGAAGATAAAGCCTCTTGAAAGGTTGTTCTGTAAAGAGGCAACATCATGCTTCTGAATTTGGGATCTTGAAATAGAAAGGAGGGAGTTCTACCATAGTGTCTTATTCCAAATAATTTGATCCTGTGTTGACTAAGCCTTTGTGTTCTTGCTAAGTGCAGTTGTTTTAGTGAGGTGCAGAATAAAGCTGGACTGGGACAGGGAGAGAGATATGAGAAAAACCTAAGAGTTACAAATCTGACTAAAATCTTAGGATAGCTAACTCCACTGCCTGTAGATGTGCCAACAAAATAATGGGAAATCCAGTGAGTTTGCCCTTAATAGAAATGTCAGTTTGGTCATAGAACTGCACTAACACTTATTTTGAATCTTCTATTGGGCCTGGTTTAATTCATAAAAAGAGAGCAACACTATTTATCCAGATCATAAATCAGTTTGGGAATGGAGATTCTGGTGTTCTCTTCTTGCTGTTTCAATAAACTAACCAAATGAGTTTGTTCAGAGGAGCAGAGCATATAGCCAGAATTTCTTTGCCAATAGTAGATTAAAGTAGATAAAATTTAACTCAATGTTAGGATGTCTATTTTTTCCCTTTACCTGTGAAGTTTTTCAAACACTGAAATGTAGTCCTTCAGCTCTGGGGTTTTTAAGTCTTTTATTTGAAATAACTTAGGCTGCTTTCTCTCTGTTTTTAACTTGAAATTCTAGTTGGCTTTTTTCTCCTGGATATCAGAATCACAGGGATTTGTTTATCCATGAGAGAAAGAACTTGACGTAGACATTTTTGAAATGCAGCTTGCTACAACATTTCCTCTGAGTAGCTGTAAGTGTATAAAGTGTGAAGTGAGAACTAATGTTCTGTGGATTTGCAAGACTCAGGTTAGTGTAATAGAAGTGTTGGAGACCTATAGACGAATCTGGAATTTTTTAGGAGAGAGATGTATCTATAGACTTCAGTATGACTCATGCTGCAGCTAATTCAACATCATTTGAAATCAATGACCTCTGAGCAGTTGCTGATTCTACTAATGGATAATAAGGATGTTGTTTCTTTAAGTTTAATCAGTATAAGATCTAATGCCTGTGCTGTATGTGGGAAGGATTTTGGAGCTATTCTGCCCTCGTATTTTTTATCACCATTCTGATTATCAACATTATTGAGATAGAGGGTCTTGGCTTGTGCTTTTGGTACAGAGTATTTGTTAGCTTTCGCGTTGATAGAGGACGTATGAAACCACTTTTACATACGGTGGTATAGATTTTATAAAAAAATTGTAAAAATGCTGATAAAGATAACATGAGGCTCAGGTTTCACCTGATCTAGATGATGTATGCCTTTTCTAGTATGTCTTTCATCTAGCTGGTTTGGCTGCTTATTTCCAACTGGGACAGAAGAAATTCTTAGCGGTCATTACAACAGCTATCTGACCTGCCTGATTTCAGTTGCTGGATGTTGCTTCTAAGTGGCCTTTAACTTGCATTGCTTATTAAAAAAACCAGGTTTCACTATTTCTTGAAAATACTGAGGTCCCGGTGGTGTGGATATATTGAGATGAATTGTGACAGTCCTGAAAAACGTGACTTCTCCTCTAAACTAGCTAGCTCATTGAAGGATGGGGCTTTGGACTTTTATAGTCAATTTTCAAATGACTAATATATTGTAACTTCAAACCTAATCTACTAATTGAGTTTGTAATTGAATAGATGACATTTGGACATCATATGCACTGGTATCATTAGCATACTTTTGCAACATAAGCTCTGATTAAGACCTATTTTTAATTCAGCACAGTAGTAGGATGTTAAGAAGCTCAGTAAAAACTAGAGTTTTCATCAGTTACAAATCCAGATAATTTCTGTAGTTACCTTGATCCTATTTCTAATAAGTGTGGGAATGATTTAACGGTTGCATTTTAATCAGTGTAGGCTTTGTTGCCTTCTCACTCCCTATTTGCTTTTTTTTTTTTCTGGTGACTAAAGGCTGCTGGGTTAGGCTCCTTTAATGATCAATTGATTCAGATGAAACAGAAAGCACTAAAAGAAAAAAGGATGCAATAAGTAAGCCATCTGTATTGTATTTACATATCTACCATTTGTTTTTCTGAGGTACATCCTGGGGCCAGGTTTGAAATAATAGAGGTTGATAATATGAAAATATTTTCCCTGCATATTATAATGAATGCAATTTGCATTTTCCATGCTAATTGTCAAAAAAATTGTATGAGTAAAATACTTGCACTGATAATGCGGTTAGCTTCTTATACTGAAGAAGGAAGCACTTTTGCAGTAGGCTTCTGTTTGTTCTTTTCGTAAGCATAAACAGCTTTAACTCATCTGAGCCTGGCATCCTAGTCCATTTGGTTATAATATCAGGGAAAGTTAGTTTAATGATCTTGTGGAAGGACTGAGAGACTTTATTAAGCAACCTTGTTTAGGAAGGTGAATATCACATGCCTTGTGTTACAGACCATATGGAGAAAAGATCAAAGAAAAACAAAGCTATAGCTCTATCAGAACCAGTGTAGAAAAACTGGGTTTGATGTAGAATAATTTTTAAAATGTTTTTTGTAACCTACAAAAGAATTTTTACATCCTTGTATTACCGTTACATAGTACGGTGGTGGTTGTACATAAAACCTAGTGGTGCAAGTTAGGATGATGGCAGTTTTCTCAGAAAATGACAAATATTTTTACATTGTTCAAAACTCATGCGATTATC